ATGTACCCTGTCTCAGAAAATTGTTATTGAATAGGTTAATGCTGTTGTAATGAAATGCTTCTTTTAATTAAAAAAATAAATAAATAAAATAAAAAAAATAGATAAGAAAAAAAATGTCAATAATATTGAATGGGAAAATGTTAGTTTTTTTTAAAAAAATAGTACTGGGAAAAACTGAATATCAATATGAAGAAGAAAAATTAGAATTCATCTTATACCATATTCAAGAATCAATTCAAATGGATTAGATTTGAAAATGTAAAACTACTAAAAACACAAAGAGGAAATATTATTTGATGTTGCTGTGGGCAATGAGGGTTCTTTGAGAACCCAAAAGCTTGGATAACAAAAATAAAAGCAGACAGACAGAATTACTTGACACACCTTCTGTACAGCTAAGGCAATGATCAGCAGAGTGAGCAGGAACCGGATGAGACAGTTGCTAAACATATACTTGGTAAAGAGTTAATATTCCATGTATATAAGGAACTTTAACAATACTGCAGTAAGAACAAGAACAAATCAAAATAGGTGAAAGATCTAAACAGATACTCCTCAAAAGAAGACCTAGAGGTGGGGCTGGAGAGAGAGCTCAGTGGTTAAGAGCATGTTTCCTCTTACAGAGGACCCAAATGTGGCACCCACACCCACATCAGAAGCCTCACAACTGCCTGAAGCCCCAATGCAATGCTCTCTTCTTGCCTCCAAAGGTACCCACACATACGGGACATTCACACATAGATGAAGAAACATATACATAAATTTAAAAATCTTTGATTTAAAAGACCTTCAAATTATTCAACAAGTGTATAAAATGCTCATTATTATTAATCATGAGAAAAATGGAAATCTAAGCCATCTTGGGATGTCACCTTTCCAAAACACAAAAGACACATGTCAGAGGATGTAGAAGTAAGGAAATCCTCAGAGACCACTGTTTTGTAATGTACATTACTAGAGTCACATGAAAAATAATACAGGAGTCCTTCAAAGGGTTAAAAACAGAGCTATCATATAATCAAACTACCCCACTACTGAACTTATATCCAAAGGATGTAGCATTAATATGTCAAAGAGATATCTGTAACCCCATGTTTATTATAGCGTGCTTTACAGTAGCCATGACATGGAATCAACCTGTATCCATCTGCAGATGAATACAGAAAATGTGACAGGCATTCACGGATACTGTACTAGTCAGCATTTTAAAAGCAGGAAAGGATACAATAAAATGGATGAAGCTGGAAGATGTTAAGTGAAATAAGATAAACACAGAAAGAAATACTAAAGGTAAGGGAGGATTGGGCCAAATAAAACAAAACTGCATTAAAATAGAAGGAACAGGTTCATAAGATCAATAAATCTTTCGTATTATATACAATGTGAAAACTACAGCTAGAAATAATGCTATAATCTACCTGCAAATAGAGTACATAAATGTCTTCACCACAAAAATAAGTCTGGGAGGGACTGGAGAGATGGCTCAGTGGTTAAGAGCACTGGCAGCTCTTGCAGAGGACCTGGGTTCAGTTCCAAGTCCACATGACAGCTAACAACCATCCATAATTCCAATTCCAGGGATCTAACACCCTCTTCTGGACTCTGTAGGCATTGCACAACATGGGTGCATTTACATACATGCAGGCAATACACTCAT